CCCCCCCCAGCTTTGGACCTCAGCTAGGCTGTGCCCAGTACAGAAGGTGGGAAACCCATAATGCAGGCCATTTCCACCCCCCACTCCTTCCTCAGCTGGCCCACTGGCTGGGGAGGGGGCACAGCTGGGTGATCAGGCCCTGGCTTCCAACTCAGGTGGGACTGCAGGCTTTCCTGCAGCCGGGAACTGGGCCAGTCACCCGATGACATTTGCTCCATGGCCAGTAGGCTGGCTGAGAAGGGTGTGGGGAAGAAAAACAGTAGCCTTCTCCCCGTCCCTCTTCCACCCGTTCCAGACCTCTGCTGCTGTCCCAGGAGCTGCCGAATGAGCACGGCCCCTGGCGCCACTGCTCTGCTAGAGCCAACTCAGAGGGTCAGAGCATCAGCTGCCCGGCAACTCCTGGGCAGAGCTGCAGCCTGGAGCCTCATCCCCACCCAGGAGCAGGGCTGGCAGCTGGGGTGGGACCAGCCCTTCTCTGTTGGAGCAGAGAGCACAGCCCAGCCCAGGGCTGCACAGCATGCTGGGATGCTGGGGGACTCTTATTTAACTTGAACCAGGAAAGCATCTGGGACAGAAATTCCATAAACCTGTTTGACCCAAATTCATTAAACCTGATACTACATTCAACCAGATTTTATCTTAAACCAGTTTTGGCCATTTTGAAACTGGTTTATGTGCACTGAACTTGTGTTCTGTTACAGGTTTAAACTAGCCTCTGATTATTTAACCCAGTTTATGTACAACTTCTGTCCCTAGCCCTAGTTGGATGTAGCTTCCAGGTCTTCCAGTAGCTGTACCCCTCTCTGAAGACAGTAATTTATCACACATGCTAATTACAGCACCTCATTTACTGCAGTCAAGGTGAAATACAGGCCTTACTGAAGCCAGTGACAGAATTGCCATTGACTTCAGTAAATCCAGAATTGCACCCTCAATCTGTCATTGTTTTGTTACTATATTTTCTCACATACCACACATCTCCAAATAAGAAATGCTCCTTGGTTTTGGAAGGCAGAACGAAGAGAAAATAAGGTCTTTCCAGAGTCCTGGCTCACTTCAGAGAGAACTCGCATCATGCAGCAGCTCACTATCTAAGCCAGCTCAGTAACTGCTTTAAGCAGAAGCTGTAGTGTTAACCCCTCTCATAGTTGCTGCCAAATTGGTAACAGATTTTTTCAGATCAGCTAAAAGCTACTGCCAAGTGCCAACCTAGCAGTGGCTATGAAACGGTTAGAACTAGACTCTACCGTTGCTGCTTGCTGGGCTGAAGAGAAGGAGCAGGTTTTATAGCATAGCTTCTAGGGCCATGTAATGCTTCGGTTGCTGATTTGATTCAGAGGAGATTCAACCTGATTTTTTTTTTTTTTTTTTTCTTCAGTGACCAATTCTCCAAATTGATTTGGGAGACCAATAAAAACGTCTGAATTGATCTGAAGCCTCCAAATCTATTCGGAGATTCGGACAGTCCCCGCTCGCCACCATAGGGAACGGGACCTGGGCTCCATGACAGGTCCCATCCCCTGCCTGCTCTCCCAGCCTGTCAATGGCTACCCCGCCTGGCCCCAGTGTCCTGGCACTTAAGAAAAAAGAAGAAAGAAAAAAAAGCCCTGCGCTCACCAGCTGCTGCAGCGGCTATCAGGGCCTCTGGGGGCTCGTGGCAGAGCTCCACCATGCAGCATGAGGCAGTAGGGGGGTAGTGAGGATTGCTCCCCTGCCTGGCAGGAGCTGGTGAGCGCAGGGCTTTTTCTTTTTTTTATTTGAAAGTATGGGGATGCTGGGGCCTGTGGGGCAGCCACTGATGGGGCTGGGAGAGCGGGCGGGGGATGGGGCCTGTTCCACTCGGCTGCAGCTGTATCTCCAAATCAGATCTGGGCAAATTGATTCAGGACAGTGATTCCAATCACTGAATCAAATCGCTGTCCCCCAAATCAGCCGAATCTGAATCCGAAGCAAATACTAGCCACTTCACACAGGCCTACTAGTTCCTATTGTAGGGAGAATGATTTCCTTTACCACATAAGATATGCAACCCAGCTTTGGAGGGCTGATTTTTTTTTTTTTTTTTTTTTTTGGGGGGGGGGGGGGTGTATGTGAGTATATATGGAATTATTTGTTGTTGCTGTTTACTTTATTTTCTCAAGGCGCTGAACAGTTACGGTATTTTCCCCCTCCAGTTCTAAGGTTTTCTCTTTTCTTTTATTTATTTTTTTATTTTTTTAAACTGCTGTTCTAAGGTCTATCCTCCAAGCAGAAAAAGGAGAGTTTCTTCCTTTACTTTTTTTATTAGCCAAAACTTGCATCTTAATCCAGAAAATTTCAGAAAGCCCTGGATTATGGCACAAGTAAATACTATTCTAAAGTTTCAGTACAAGAAGAATAATCCAAACGTTTCGCTTTCAGCAGTAGTGCAGCCAAGAAATAGTTTTTACATAGTAGTAATTAACAAACACACACAACTGCGGCTCTGCTTAGCAAACAAACTGAATTTGTACAGTAGTGACAAGCAAAAAGGTGTACTTATACTTTTTCGAAGGCTTTATTCTGGCTACATGTCAAAACAAGTAAGGAGGGAGACTGACTCTTGTTCCAGCTGGCATTTTGATTGCATTAGGAGGGATGGATCAGTACTCAGTCTTGGTGTAAGTAGAACTGTCTACCTGCAGCTCCACTAAGGTCAAAATTGTTACCTTTTTAATTGTGGACAGCTGCTTGCCTGCAGTAATTACTTCTAGGCCCATTTTTGGTGCAGTAACTGATTGTAATCACTGAGGTACTTTGTTCCAATCTAGTTTGTCATGCAAGTTGGTGGATGGCCACACCCAGAGTACCCAGTTTCCTGTACGTGTATTATGCCTCTGGGCTATGGTGGGCAGCATCACCCTGATTATGCAAATCCTCAAGCACAGACATATCTTTACTCACATGTTTAGTTTAATTGAAGTCAAAGTTGCACGTGGATTTTTGCCCAAATCCTGTTCTACCTCTGAACTGTCTAAAGCAGCCCTTCTGCAGTTTTTAGTTATCCAAGCCACTCAGTGCAATACTATCCCACCATACTCAATAGCCATGTGTTTAGCCAGTGCCTGGAGTCATTATGCATCTCCATGTTGGCCTAAGCCACTAGTCTTGGGCTGCTACATCTGCTCAGAAATGATCCAGAGCTGTCACCTTACCTGTCTAATTACTATCTAAGCTCTGATATGGTCCAGTTCCACCTAGAAAGTGCTTAAACTCAGCCTAAGCCCCTGGTTCCTTGATGGAGAGACCATGCTGGGCAACTGTTTGAAGCCTTTGTTATGTAGTATGGAAACAATGGTGGCTGTAGCAGTGGTGGGGGACTTGCCTATTTTTCTCCTAGTAGCTATGTAGTCAGGACACTTGCCCAGGAAGTGTGAGACTTGGGTTGTAAGATCCAGTCAGTTGCAGTGGGTTTGGTCGCACATCTCCCACTTCCAAGGATAGTGCCCTTGGGTCTGGGCTACACAGGGCATGTGACATCCTCCCCACTTCCCATCGAAGCTAAACCATTGGATGGAAAGAAATGTGAGAATCATGGGAACATGAAAGCTGTTGCTTGACTGTAAACTCAGGAGAGAGAGAGAGTGAGAGAGAGTGAGCCCTGGGCTGTGTTCCCAATGCTGTTATGCATCTTACACTATCTAGTTGTTAGATAAAATGCATAAACAACAGTGGAAATGGACCCAGGAGTCTTCCCTCCTCTTCTGTCTATTTTTGGCCCCAAGAATCTTGACTGCCCAGTGACCTGCCTTCAGTTGGAAGAATAGAGAGTACTTTCTACCCTGCTGGCCAGTAGTCTGGTGGGTTGGGCACTTGCTGTCAAAGGTAGAAGAATTAGTGGTGTTTCCTTAGCTTTTCCCTCATTTGAATGTATTTTTGTCTATACATAGTGTAAACATTCTTTCATTTAATGTGACTTATTTATTCATAGCATAAATGTAAAACGATTTGTGCCCTTATTTTAACTCTTTTTTTTTTTCTTTCCTTTCAGTAGGCCATCGTCTCCTCACTATTTAACCTCAGTACTTAAGCAGAACCATGGTCGGTCTCTCAAAGGTAAATTTTCTGTGTCCTGCTATCTCCCAATTCATATACAACATAAATTATCATCTGAACTGTGCAGATCAACCTGTTCTGAAAGTATCTTTATACCATCTGAGGAAGTCAGTTAATAATGTGCATTCTAGTTGTATTTGTGGGTTTCTTCTCACTCCTTCCTCCTCCTCTTCCCCCCCCCCCCCCCCCCCCCCCCAGTTTAAACCAGTCAGTTGGGTCCTGAGACATAAAGCAAGTTTGTATTTCAGTGTCCAACATCCTCTTCATCATAGTATGGTACCTAACATGTATATTGTTTGCTTGTCCCAAACTCTGACCTATTTTAAAACCTGTATAATCTAGTAGGATATCCATTCCAAAGCTAAATCTTTCTTGATTTTGTTCTTAAATCCACCGTTCCATTACAGGGGATTTCTCTTTTTCTCTCCCTCTTCCTCTCTCTCTGTGTTTATAAGTTTTGACTTTGTACTTTGCTGCAATTTATATGAACACGTAATTTGTATAGGGGATGTTTTGTGGCTAGCATTGCTGCCCCACCTCTAAGCTGTCCTAGATGCTGTTTTATTGCCACTTTTATGACCACATTCCACAAAGTGCACTGAAGTTGCTTATCTCTGTGTGTGTGTGTGTGTGTGTGTGTGTGTGTGTGTGCGCGCCTTCTCTGTTCACCAGTTCTTCTCTATTGTGCCTTGACATTTAATCTCCTTTGTGAGTTGTGCATAAAAGCGAAAGATTATATATAAAGATAAAGTGATTTTTGCCAAAAGAACCATATGATGCACCCTGACTCAGCACATCTTGCAGTGCCCAAGTTGTTAACTATACTTCTTCAAAAAGAAATCCTAGGCTAACTCTTCCAGGCAGAGGTGCAGGATTACAAATTCATATTGTCTAGTAATGGGATGTATTAAGGTTGTGTGATCCAGATACTACTCTTGCAGTTATCACAAAATGGAAATATAGCAATATAGCACCTGGTTCCTTCCCCACCCCGCTCCCAACCCCTTCCTGGTCCTAAGAACTTTTCGTTCACCTAGGATCCAGTTTCTTCTTCCTGCCTCTCTGTTCTTTGATGCCAAAGAGGCAGTGGATGGACATGTGACAGTCAGTCTGCCATCTGAATTCCATCATTTGTGTAGGCCTGTATTAATGACTCAGCAGGTGACAGTTTCTTTTCCCTGCTTGTCAAAGATTGTTTCCTTGCACCTTAAAAAAGGGACTGTCAGCCTTTCAAAAAGCCCTTTCTTTCCCTTCTTATTTAAAGGAGAGAATTTTCTGTCATCAGATGAGGCGGAGTCTAATAGGAAGGATCCTGACAGTTTCTTTATTTTTTGTTCCTGCTTGTGGCGCAACTGTCTTTACTGCTATAATGATATTCCTCTTTTTTTATACTTCTTTTCAGGCAGGTTATCCACTCATTGCATTGACAAATGGGTTTTTACCCTCACCCTGCAAAATCCCCATGGTATTTTCTTGCTGCATTTTTGAGCCTGTGTCCAATATTGGCTCTAAATATTGCTGATGACTCTGTAGACTGCACTGCTGTCTCATAACAAGATTATATCTCTGTTTTTTCTGAACTCAGTAATAAAATGAATAAAAGGGCAGTAGCCCTTGGTCTCAGTAGCTCTTGAAGTATAGAGACGCCTTGAACCTTCCACCAAAAACCTGATAGAGAACGGAAGGAGCTGACCTGGTATGCTGCTAACGCTGAACAACATATTCAGCCATGGTTGAGGCTTAGCATTGCAGCATTTTTTCCCTTTCCCATTCACAACCTGGTTCAACTTGTTTATTCATTTTATAGAGCAGTCAGTGCCCGAAAGGTTCTTCACATCACATTGTGGTTCCTTGTGGCTGCAAGAGCTTCTCTACCGAGAAGCCTGAAATCATCTGAAAAGTTCAAAGCCACAATGGTAACTCCTCTAGATGTGCCCAAGCTCACTGACAGCATGCTTGCTCAGGTGGGCTTGCAGCCTTCACCAAGCTCTGTGCTGCCATAACTATAACAGGTAGATTGTTAGCAGTACCTGAGCTAGCATAGGTATGTCTACACATGGTGGAGTCATATATATCTTTGACTGAAGTGTGGATGAATCCTAAGCTTTACTGCTAATGGATAGAAAACTGGCTGTATTGTCGGGCTCAGAGGTTTGTAGTCAATGGCTTGATGTCTAGTTGTCAGTCGGCATCAAGTGAAGTGCCTCAGGTCATTTCTGGGGTTGGTTTTGTTCAAGATCTTCATCAAAAGATCTTGGCAGCAAAAGGGCATAGCAGCTTCCCCTGGCTTTCCAGGGAACTAGCGGACCTCCTGTGTCTAAAAAGAGAGACCTACAAAGGATGGAGGACTTGATCCACCTCCAAGGAGGAATACTCTGCACTGGTCCAGACCTGCAGGGAGCGAACCAGGAAACCCAAGGCTGCGACGGAACTCCAGCTAGCTACAAGTATCAAGGATAATAAAAAGTTCTTTTTTAGATATGTGGGGAGCCGGAGGAAAAGCAAGGGCAACATTGGATGCCTGCTAAACCACATGGGACAACTGATGCCCAGGAAAAAGCCAACTTGCTAAATGGGTACTTTGTTTCAGGTTTTCACCAGTCCAGTTGGATGCCCCTGCCCATTTCGGGACAGGAAGGCCCAGGTGAGGGAGATTCCTTACCCTCCATCAGTGCTGATGTTATGAAGGAACACCTTGAGAGGCTGGATACTTTCAAGTCAGCCAGCCCTGACAGTTTATACCCCAGGGTACTCAAGGAGCTGGCAAGCATCATAGCCCAGCCCTTGGCACAGATCTTCAAGAACTCCTGGCGCTCTGGTGAAATGCCCAAAGATTGGAAGAAGGCCAATGTGGTGCCTATCTTCAAGAAAGGGAGGAAAGTGGATCTGGCAAACTACAGGCCCATCAGCCTGACCTCTATCCCAAGGAAGGTTTTAGAAAAGATCAAAGAGGCCATTCTTAGCAGGCTGGCCGATGGCAACATCCTGAGGGATACCCAGCATGGGTTTGTTGCAGGTAGTTCTTGCTTGACCAATCTAATTTCCTTTTACAACCAGTGACCTATCACCTGGACAAGGGAGAAGAGATTGATGTCATATATGTTCACTTAAAAAAACCCTTTGATCTGGTATCCCATGATCACCTGTTAGCAAAACTGGCTAACTGCGGCCTTGGGCTCACCACGATCCACTGGCTGGGGAATTGGCTCTATGGTAGGACCCAGAGGGTGGTGGTTGATGGAAGACAATCGTTGTGGTGCGCTGTGACCAGTGGGGTCCCCCAAGGCTCTGTCATTGGGCCTATACTGTTCAACATCCTCATCAATGATGTAGACATTGGTGTCAGAAGCGGACTGGCCAAGTTCACCAACGACACCAAACTTAGGGGTAAAGCATCCACACCTGAGGACAGGAGGGTGATCAAGGCTGACCGTGACAGGCTCAGGAAATGGGCAGACGAGAACCTGATGGTGTTTAACACCGAAAAATGCAAGGTTCTCCACCTTGGGAGGAAAAACCTGCAGCATGTTTATAGCCTCGGCAGTGCTACGCTGGCTAGCACTATGGATGAAAGGGACTTGGGGGTCATGATTGACCACAAGATGAACATGAGCCATCAATGTGAAGTTGCAGCTAGTAAAGCAAGCAAAACGCTGGCTTGCATCCATAGATGTTTCTCAAGCAAATCCCAGGACGTCATTCTCCTGTTGTACTCGGCCTTGGTGAGGCCACAGCTGGAGTACTGCATCCAGTTTTGGGCTCCTCAGTTCAAAAGTATGTGGAGAAGCTTGAGAGAGTCCAGAGGAGAGCCACATGCATGATCAGAGGTCAGAAAAACAGACCTTATTATGAGAGGCTGAGAGCCATGGGACTCTTCAGCCTGGAAAAGTGCAGGCTCAGGGGTGAATCTGGTGGCCACCTATAATTTTATCAGCGGTACTCACCAGGATCTGGGGGAACATCTGTTCACCAGAGCGACCCGAGGGATGACAAGATTCAGCGGTCACAAACTCCTCCACGACCGTTTCAGGCTGAACATAAGGAAGAACTTTTTTACTGTCCGAGCCCCCAAGGTCTGGAATAGCCTGCCGCCGGAGGTGGTTCAAGCACCTACTTTGAACACCTTCAAGAGACATTTGGATGTTTCTCTTCCTGAGCTCCTAAGATCCTTGCTGACTTCCTCCCCCCTGGGGCAGGGGGCTGGACTCAGTGCTCTTCTGAGGTTCCTTCCAGCCCTAATGTCTATGAAATCAACAACCTGAAAGATTGGGGAGGTTGGCTATAGTCCTGTCTTGTAGATCTCCATTTCTGGTGTCCCACTAGGAAAAAATTAGGCTTTAGGACACTATAGCCTTCCTTTTAATGGTGGCATCATTGATTCAAGTAAAATGGTACATATGTCAACTGAGTTTCTCTCCATTTAAGTCCAAATGTGGTTGGGGGGGAGACTGTGGATATCTTATTCTGTGCAGGGGTTCCAGAAATGTACAACCATGGTCAGGTGAAATACAATTTCTGTGGAGAACTCTTGTTGTATGTGGCTGAGTGACAGTGATGAAGGCCAATACTAAGCCCTGTTCCATTGGAAATTTGCTGTCCCTGCCAAAAGGAGAAGTGTCTGTAGAGGAGTATTCCTGGCAGCAATCTCCTGTAAAGGTGATTTAGGATGAATCTTGAACAGGCTATCTATCTACCAAGAAAATATGATGGTATTTTTTGTGGCCGCATAGGTAGAGACTTTAGTGCTCTCTTGGAAGTCCAGTATGAGGGAGAATTGCGTGGGAATTCAGTATCGTTTGTCAGCAAAGGGCACTTCCTGGCCTGCCTGCTGATCCGCTGTTGAATCTTTTCTTCACGCTTGCCCTGAGACTAACAGGATGGCTGTCTGCTTGAGTAAACATAAGATACTAAAGGCTTTAGGCTGTTTCCCCATCTGCCTTTTGAGCAGCCCAGGCTGTTCGGAAGCCACGCCCCCAGCTCTCTCCAATACACAGGCTCAGGCAACTGCAAAACTGCTGAGCCTGCACCTCTGCCTGTGTCTGAGCTCCGGTCTCCTCCTCGCTTCTGCCCGTCTCTGCTCCTGCAGTGAGTGCCAGGGCATTCTGATTAGGGGTCTGGGCCACGCTGGGGGGACTCGTGTTTCCCCTCTCACGCACCTCTTAAATTTAAGCTAATTTTTCCCAGTTGAGGAAAAATTTGACCTGATGGGATTTAAGACCATTCAAATGACAACGCAGTAGTTTCTTTTCTTATCATTTCTTTTCGTTTTGTGGGGTTTTTTTGGGGGGGGTGGGGAATCTATGAAGTGATTCCCACATAGGCAGTTATTTTGTAATAGCATGGCTGTGAACAAAACAAGAGCCATCTAAAGTAGTGCATGCCACCAATTTTTACTTCAGCTGCTGGTAACAGTGGGGAAAATGCTGCTAGTCAAGCCTTTCTCAGCTTCCCTTACCCTGTTCAG